GTTCTGCGAGGAGAGAGAGAGCAGAGAACACACAGTCGCGTGTAGAGACAGAGATTAGAGACGAAGGCAACATTAAAATATTTTTAAGCTTTATAGTTCTTAGCGAATTATCGTTTTGGGTTTGGATTAAGTGAAACATTAAATTCGTGGGTCCCGCAGTCCAACTGTTAGACCAGACCGAGCTGATGGGTATCAATCGGACAGGAATCGGTTTAGCCACCAGGTTAAGACAATTGAAGCTGAACATAGAGAAATCAGACAGAGATTGAATAGAAGAAACAGATCCTAAAGTCAGATCACAAACCTGTTGTTACATCAATTTGGTTTGATGGGAACATTCAGATTCAACTTTCAAACTTATATATATATACATACACTCAAATCTTTGTTTGCAACTGCAGACAATTTGAACAACAGTGAGGCAAGGAACCGCCTTTTCTGCAGTCGCTATCGATTCAAAAATCTAACACAAAACCTTTGCTTGAATCCAAGAAAGAAGAAGGAGATGAGACACACAGAAACATCACATTTACATCTCAAAAACATAACAATTTTTGAAGAAAAAAAAAGGAACTTTTCTATATTGTACTGCTGAATGTATTACCAGCATAAGCTGATGAACCCCCAGATGAATAAGCATTTGAGTTATCATGAGTACCTGCGCTAGACGAGGTATTTGAAGAAGAAGAAGGGTTTGTGTAGTTCTGTCTGTTCACTTCCTCTGTCTTTGTTTCGGAAGGTCCTCTCACTTTCAAGTCCATGAAATCAGATATCAAACCCGGTCTGGATATTTTCCTGTAGTCTATATCCTTCTCCCCTGTTAACAACCTCACCACTTTGGACATAGTAGGCCTTAGCTTGGGACTGTCTTGTGTGCACAAAAGACCGATTTTTAGGTACCGACAAGCTTCCTCTGCGTCAAAGACTCCATTTAACCCTGGATCAACAAGATCCACTAGCTCATTCCGCTCATAAAGTTCCCAAGCCTGTTCAATGTAAAAAGATGTTATATTTCAAGACAAGAGCTTAGACATTTAGAAAACAAACACGATTGATCATGCCAATTAGTCTGGATAAACATACGGTGAATGCAAATATGCCCAAATTCTGAACTGATAACGCAAGAGAACTTTTGAAAGGAAAAACCAAGACTTACTCTTTCTAGAAGATATTGATATTCCGTGGGTAACCGGGTGTTTTTGTTACTTCTTCCACTGACTATCTCCATCAGAAGGACTCCAAAGCTGTATATGTCCGCTTTACGTGTCAATTGCCCCCTAACTGCATACTCCGGTGCTAAATAACCACTGCCCAAAACAGATGTGAACACATGTTAAGACCTCCAATTTTCAGTGGATATGGTAGAAAAAGGGAATGAACATATGGAACTCACATTGTACCCGCGACACGAGTGCTGACATGAGTCATGTTAGCTGGCATAAGTCTCGCGAGTCCAAAATCTGAGATCTTGGGTGATAAATCTTTGTCGAGTAGAATGTTGCTTGCTTTGATATCTCTATGAATAACGTGTGGACGTACTTCTTCATGAAGAAAGGCAAGACCTTTAGCAACCCCAACGCAAATATTGGCCCGAGTACTCCAATCAAACTGCATCCCACTCGGAGAGTATCCCCCAGCTGACAAAGAAAACATTCATTCAGTTAGAAATAACATTACAAAACCAGAGAAACAGCCACTTAAGAGAGTAAGAAACTAAAAAGAATCACCTAGAAGCGTCTTATCAAGGCTATTGTTCTCAAGATAATTGTAAACAAGAATCCTGTGATTCCCTTCCACGCAACATCCATATAGCTTAACCAAATTCTCATGCTGTATTTCTGATATCACATTGATCTCAGTCAAGAATTCTCTAACACCTTGTCTCGACTCAGCCGAAAGGACTTTGATAGCCGCAAGCTTTCCATCTTTAAGACGACCCTAGTCATACGAAAAATTTCTCCCAATGAGTTTAAAAAGATGAAGAGAGAATTTGAAAAAGAAGAGTAAGCAAGAAAGTTTCCTCATTTACCTTGTACACAGAACCAAACCCTCCTTCTCCAATTTTATTCTCACCACTGAAATCATCTGTAGCTTGACGTATCTCTCTATATTTGTAAATCTTTACGTTGTCTATCGCTGCGATTTCTGCTAGGAAATATG